CTGCTTGGCTGTGATCTCGGGCAGGGCGGGGAGAGACGGCTTGTTCTGCTGAAGCTGAGCGAGACTACATGGGCGTTCATTATACTATTTCTCTCTATTTTTATTTATGTTTGAAATTTTATACTATAGTTTAAAAAACATAATTTTGAGTAAAAAAAGTAGAATGATAATTGCAGTTAGATCCAATATTCATAAATTTTAAAACGTAATATCATATGTTGGTGTCTTCACAGTGGTAAAAGTCTAGAAACAGGGACAGAGATGGGCGCGGGTCTAGGGCATTCCCAGAAAGACGCAGATACTTGCACCACCCTAAGTGCAGCAGTGGCATTTCTGTGTTTAAAATCTAAATGAATTGGCACGGTCCATCTGGACACACTGCCAGGAAGGAGTCATGTGGTGAGGAGGCTGAGGGGAGGCAGAGGGGGTCGAGGGCTGACCTCCACCGAGGCTTTCCAGGATCAGCATCACAGAGAGCACACAAGTCTCTGAGGCACAATCAGGGCCCCCAGTCCTCACCCTGCCACCTCCCGCACAACGCTGGAACAAGGACACCTCAACCACCTTGCAGGCCCGCAGGCTGACTGCAGCCCTCCCTCCCTGGGCTGGTTCCCCTCTCCCAAACAACCTCCTTGGACTTGGTGGGGATCTCCAGTGCTCCTGCCCCAGTTCATCAGTACCCTGTCCCTCCGGTTAAGTCTTCTGAGGTCCTTTTCAGTAACACACTTGTTAATATTCCAGAGCCCTCTGCCCTCTTCTCATTTTCAAAGTGCCATTGAAACGGCCTGTCTACATTATCCTGCCTGCACAGGGCGGCTGTCGGGGGCAGTCTACCCACATCATCGTGATGCCGGCCTCCAGTGCCCTGGGGATGCCCAGTCAGCGGGCCTGGCTACCTGCTGCCTGAATGACCACATGGCATGCCTGGGGGCTCCCCATACGATAATTCTTCTCTCTATTCTGTGGTCCCCTCTCTCTCAACTAGATCCTTCCATTTGATAATTTTTCAATTAATTTTAGTTTTTATCAGAGTAATACAAGCACATTTAAAACACCAAACAGCATCAAAACACTTTAATGAAAAGCAGCAGTCCTCCCCAGGTGAAGCCGGTTCCGAGGCAGCCACGCTCAGCCCTGCTGGCACTTCCTCCTGGTGTTCACCTCCGTCACTCAGAAGAACATGCTCATTTGCCATAACTTCTCAACATACATATAACTCGATTTTTATTAAATCAATTACCAGTTATAGTGACTACGCAAAATCATTTACTGTTGAGTCAGGTTGTAATTATGATTATGGTTTCTTTCTCTAACAATTGCTTGCAACAATTGCCTTGTTTTCACAGTTGCTTTAGTTTTCTACATATTTGTAGTTATTTTTTCAAATACTCCATCAGTCGTCAAATACTGATCAATAAATCCTCAAATACTCAAACACATCACTGGTCTTCCTGAAAAGACCCCCTGGAGAATCCCTGTCCGCAGCCCTCCGTCCCCCTGCCCCTCCTGGGCTGAGCGCTGCCTGGGCTGAGCTGATGTCCCTCTGCAGGTCTCCCCTGTGGAAAATCCTTCTCCTGGATGCCCTGCTTTCCTGCATCTGAGTCACACCCTCAGTGCATGAAGCAGCTCCTGAAGCAGCTTCCCCGGAGCAGATGCAGCGAGGGTTCTGTTTGCTCGGGGTGTTTTATTTGTTTCTTTTTGTCTGTGTCTGTTAAAAATGCGTTTATTCTACTGTCACTCTTGATAAACGGTTTGGTATAAAATTCTGGTTTGATGGGGCTGTCCCCATGGTGTAGTGGTTAAGTTCTCGTGCTCCACTTCAGCAGCCTGGGTTCCCGGATTCGGATCTCGGGTGTGGACCTACACCACTCATCAGCCGTGCTGTGCCAGGCGACCCACATATAACGTGGAGGAAGATGGGCACAGTTCCCTTTTCATCCCTGCTAACATCCCTGGGATGTTAGCTCAGGGCTAATCTTCCTCAGCAAAAAATAAATAAATAGATTGAAATTAATCTTCCCTCAGTATGTTAAAGGCATTGATGCTCATCGTTTTTTAGGGTAACCTGACCCAAAATATATAAAGGCCAAACACCATCTAAGTGTAGTCCTGCTCCTGCTCTAGTCAGTGGACGTCCGCACCCGGTGGCTCTAGACCAGCTTCCGCTCTGTGGCTCCTCCAGCCTCTAGGGCTTCATGACACCTGGTCCAGCCAGCAGGAGAGGAAAGAGAGCCCCGAAGGCTCCTCAGTGTCACAGGAACCTTGGCCTGAAACTGGAACCTCCCTGTGCTGACACTGCACGGGGAAGAACTCGTCACACGGCCACACCTAAACGCAAAGAGTTTGGAGATGTGGCCCCAGCAGGACACCCGTCTCCCAGCACAGCTCTGCACCACTGCCGGGTGAGCGTGTGATGGGTGCTGCCGTCCTCACTTCCCCCGCCATCTTCCTTAAAAGTCCTGTGCCATTCTGACTCCTATAGACCATGTCTAAAGTGCGGGTGCCTGTGCGGGTGTGTTTTCTCCCTGGAAACTTTTAGGGTCTTCTGTTTATTTCTAATTTCTGACATTTTATGATGACATGCTTTCATGGGAGTCTTTTTAAATTTGTTTTCATGGATCCTTTCATTCCAGAGACTAAAAATTTCCTCCCTCTCCATTTTCTAGAAATCCTACTAGTTGGATGTCAGACAGCCAATACTGAGTTTCTAGTTTTCTTTTATTTTCTCTTCTATTGCTCATCTCTCTATGCTTGGTTCACTTTTGGGAAATTTCTTGGTTTTACCTTCCAACTCTTTAATTCCGTTTTTATTTCACTGATCATAGTTTTAATTTTCAAGAACTGATATCGCTGATCGTTCCTTTTTCCTAGAATCTTGTTCTTGTTTTGTGAATACAATAACTTCTTTTATCACACTAAGGTTTTTACTTATAGTTCACTTGACATTTTCCTCTGATCCCTTAGTCATCTCTGTTTCTTCCAGGTCTCGTTTTTCTGTTTCTTTATTTCTCTCTTTCCTGTTGGAAACTTTCCTTCAGCGTCTGGTGGGCAAGGTGCTAAAAGTCAACTGGAGGCTTTGCACACGCTGGTTAATCCGGGGGACTGGCCTTTGGTCTGGGGACTCCCACGTGGTATGTGGTGGCCTTTCTCGAGGGCATGTCAGTCTCCATAGAGACCTCTTCCTGGAGAATTTGTGACTTCCTAGGAGCAGAGCAGGGCAGGCGCCAACCATCTCCTCAGCTGCACCCATTGCACCCTCGGTCCAGATTCTCCCAGGCTCCATATCTCCAGGAAAGAACTTCTGGCATCTTCTCTGGGGAGGAGCTTGGTCACCTGCTTCGTGGGACAGGGCAGAAAACTGTGGATGTCCCTGCTCTGTGCGAAGACTCAGCAAGACCCCACGCCGGGCCTCGCCAGTTGCATTCCGTGGCTCCTGGTGCCTCTCAGCACTGAATGCGGTCCTCTGAGTGAACCCCATCACCTCTCATGCTCTCCACTTCAGCAGCCCCCTCTCATCCCCACATCAGTGACTCCAGTTCCATTCTCGTCAAACTTTCTCCCCCAAACTGGACATCCACTGGTGATTTTGCCCAAACCAGTCTTTACCATGACGGTTATAAAATGGTGATTTTTCAACGTCTCCACTCCTACATTTCACTGTAGGGAAGAGCTCCCTTCCCCCAGAATTTAATGTGTAAACAGACGAGAGAGCATCGAGTAAGGCAGTGTGTTCAAAAGACCGTGATCAAATGCAGCGCTGTAAGAAGGAGAGCAGGTGCTGGACTTTCAATAACTGCGATGAGTTTTTAATTTTCTCCCGCAGCCTAAACTAACTTGCTTCTAGATCGTTCTACACAGTCCCCTCAGATTAAACATGCCCAGCATGGGATTCACTGGCCATCCCCCAAACCTGCTCACCACGTGTGCTCCTGTCCTGGTGTCATCAGGTATCAAAACTGGAAGCCTGGGGCCATTCTCCACCCCTTCCTTCTCCCTCACCCCCACCCAACAGACACCCGCCTCCCACACCTGCTATCACTGGCACACCTGCTCGCCACCCCACCCCACGGCCCTGGGAGACCACACCAGCCATGTGGCTGCCTCTGGTCTCATCCTCTTCCACACACAGAGACAGACGGTCTCTAACTCCCGTGTGATCGTATGGCTCCCTTGTCTCTGCCCCACAGTGGTTCCCTTCACTTCAGGGCACTCAGCGTGTTAGGCAGCCTCTCGCCACCCAGCCCTGTGCCACCTCCTTGTTCTCAGCGCCTCTGGTTCTCTGTGCTCTGGTCCATCAGGGCTTGGCTCCCTGGGCTTGATTCCCACAGTGCACGGTGCTCACCTCATCTTTTCAGACAGAGTAGCTGAGTGTCCACTGCTGTCACTTTCAGGTGATCAGCTAACAGGTCCCAGCAGTTAGGAATCCATAAGGAACTATCTAGAATATGGGGAGACTCCTTTTCGTTGCAAGCGGTAAAACATATAGCCTCATGTATCTAGTCCATCACATTTTTAAATGTAAGTTTCTTCCCTTGTTTGTACATTTTCTGAGAGGAAACTGCAGGAATCACTGTGCAGTTAATCAATGTTCAAGGTGCTCAACCTGAAAACGTTGCTGGAGGCTCAAAATTAGACTGTGGCGGATGCAGGGACACAATTCACTCTCTGAAAGGCCTTTGGCAACAGCGTGCAAAGTAGAAATGTTGGCTGTGGCTACCTTTAGTGAATTCTCACTTCTACCCACTTAATCCTCTACTTGAAAACGACAGTGTAGGCTCATTTCTGGGGGCGGTCAGTCCCTGCAGGGGATGCTCGGGTCCTGATTCAAGCCTGAGCCTCATTCAGAACTTTCTGCCACAAGTTCACTTGGAGTCTTTGGTGCCATGAATAACGATCTGTACATGTCCCAGTGCCCACAGCCCAGAAGCTGCCAAATCTCAGTTCATGTCAATCACCTGCCGAAAGTACCCTGGGGTCACGCTGCCTGCTCTGTGCCATAGGTCCGGGATGCCCAGCCGCTTGTGGACACCTGTGCCCCGCTGACTCCCAGCCACCTCCACCTGAAGCTGAAGAAGCTGAAGGTACCGTTCAGTTCCACCTCTGAGCTGCTGTCACAGCTGACTAGAAAACATCAGCTCGAAAACCCAGGAAAAAGCAAAAGGCAGGCTCAGTCAGGAACAGACAAGTCACGTATCAGAGGTAAAATGCCATGTAGGCAACGATTAACCTTGTCTGGGCTCAAATGGAGCTGATGGGTAATTGCACTAGAAATCTTTCTCTGGGGGAGGGAGAGGAAATTCCCTGGGACAATTTATTCCATGCAGTTCTAGAGTAATTAATTAGCTTCATTCCTCTAAACCAGACAACTTCGTGATCACATCAGAATGTTTATTTCTTGTAGGTTAAGCCACCTGGTGACAGAATCACGTGGTCACACTGACAGTGACACCTTGACAGCAAATGCTGTGTGTGCTTCTGTGCCTGTTAGTGTTGTCCTAAATGGCCGAACAGAAGCTGAGTAACAGATCAATCCATTTAAAAAGCTAAAACAAGAGGATTTTGTTTCCTCTGGGCTCAAACCTTCTCTTCTGAACAGTATAAAATCTCTCTCTTAAATAAGAAGTGATTCCTCATTAGTGCCACTGTCACAGGTCAGAGTTTTTGAGGATGACCTAATTTCAGAGTCCTATCATCCTCAAGCGACTTCCACTCCGAGCACATGAAGTTAGCCCATCTGAATGATCCCACTTCACAGAGCGGCCTGCGTGTGTCACACTCAGGCTGGAGCAGCTGATGTTTGAGGAGGTGATGCAAAACCCACCAGGTGCTCAGGTCCAAGAACGTGTGGGGTTGCAGGAGTCCTCTAAATCTGTGCCCGTAACAGCGCAGACGCAGCTGGTGCTTCCAAAGGCTCCTGCGTGTCTGCCCACAGCTGGAGGAGGAGCGGCTCTCTGTCATCGACAGGGACAACCGCCTGCTGCTGGAGAGGGTATCCTGCATCATGAGGACCAGGGGACAGGCCGACAGCAGAAGCAACTGCACACCCAAGAGGTAATAGGGCCCTGACACCCCATGGTCAGCACCAGCCCTGGGAGGACCTGGAACACTCGGCCCCAGGGCCCCAGCAGAAGAGCTGCCCCTGAGCCAGAGCGAGGGGCCCTCTTTTCTCTTGAGAGCCACATGCCAGAGAAATGCCTTGTCCTCTGTGGTCTGAGATCAGGCTGATCCCCGACCTACAGCAAACGGGGTGTTGGTGCCTCTTTAATAACCCGGTTGTTTTACCAAAGTGGAGTTCTCTGTGGAGATGGAGGAGACGGACTTTGTGGTCTTTACAGCCACCTGTGAAGGCTTAGCGACAGTGACGACTGCTAGAAGCCCCTCTTCTCTTGGGTGAATAACCTCTGCCCCTGCATCCTACACATCCCCAGAGTTTGCTCACTGGCGACATCAACATCCTTCCCTTTTTCTTTCTCCTTCTCCCAAAGCCCCCAGGACACAGTTGTGTGTATTCTAGTTGTGGGTGCTCGTCCTTCCCTTTTAAATGCAGAAGTCCAGTAGTGACTGTGACAGATGATTATAATGAGATGGTTTTCCAGAAGTGCCTGACCCTTTTAAGACCTGTAGCCTGTACCTGTCTCCAAGAAGCTCAGAGTGGTTTCCAGACTCATAATAAATTAAAATTAAAAGTTGATGCCCCGACACCAGGAAGTGTGTAACACAGGAGGGATGCGGTCCAGCCCGAAGTGCCGTGGGAACAGCAGACCCCACACTCCAGCCTGGCTGGGTTTGTCCAGATTCCCAGTCAGATTCCCTGTTTCTCGGAGGCGGTTCACTGTGGGCTCCAGGGGTTTCACTGAGGGTCTGGGGTCGGGGGGTGGGGGAGGCTGTCAGGGATGGTCTGTGCCTCCTGCCTGCACTCGCTGTCTAGCCCGTCATTAAAACCTGGAGCTGTGGGTCAAGCTCCATTGCCCTGGGACAGTTTACATTAGGTCCGGAGCCACTTTCTGCTTTACAAATGGATACCTGAGTGTGAAATTGCTGCTTGGTGCTGCTACCTCAGAGCTGCAGGGAGAGGCCTTGATGGTGGCCAATCCCCCCCCCCCACTCCCCCCCCCCTGGCCTCGCCCCCCCCCCCCGCCCCCCTGCAACTCAACAGGGAGGGGCTCCCGTGAGATTCTCCTCCTGCTGCTGGAATTCTCTTTGAAAACACAAATCCCAGTCGTGCCTGGGGGTGAATTCACACGAACAGACTGATTCGCCTTCAAACACAGGAAATGAGAAAAGGAGGGAGAGAGGAAGCAGGAGTGACAACGGAGGTGCCAGCCCGTCAGAGGGTCAAGGAAGGCTTTGGGCTAATGCCTCCGGGACTCAGGGAAGTTGGGAAGCATGTAACTGTTCCTCTAAATTGTTTCTCTTTTGTTATATTAAGAGATGCAATCCCCAACCACCATGATCGGCAAAAAACCCACCACAAGAGCGAGACCTGCGTAGACGGCCAAAAAGTGCTGAGAGATGACCTTTGCCTCCTTTTTAAAGCTAAGATCTCTGCTCCATGAGGAGCTGAGGCGTTACCATGACAGGCGGTGTATGTGGAAGCATGTTTTCCATCTGAGCCTGCGCAAGTGAATGCCCACCTCTCCCTTTTGAACATTCATTCCCCATTCGAAACAGAAGCTGTCCCGGGAGCCACGACTCTGGAAGTGACTCCGCGTGGCCTCTGCTTTGTGCCGTGCGGTCATATCTCCACTTCTGGTGGAGAGTCTGATTTTTAATTCACCAAGGATTGAACCCACTTTGGCTCAGTAATTAAGGGAGACGGACGGAGCCAGGCTCCAGGGCGCGTGAAAGGGACATCAGGGCCAAGGGTGAGCCTGTGAACCGACCCGGCTAGCCCCATGCTAGGAAGCTTTCTCTGCCTGCTTCCCAAGTTTCAGAGCACCTCGCTGCTGTCCTGCTTGGATTTTAGAGCAGTCAGTAGCCTCTCGGCTCCTTTACGAGGCATTTATCTTTGCTCAGCTCTGGGTAGTATTCTGAGAACAAAGTGTGGTAGCATTGTGTGTCCAAAATCAGAGTGAATTCCCCTTCCCATCGTTCTGATGCCTGGAGCATAGAAGGAGGTGACACCAAGCAGCTTTCGGCTAATGACGCATCACAAAGTGATGGTAGAAATGGTGTGTCTCCTCGTGATTAGTTTAATGGAGGCCTGCAAGAATGAAAGTCAATGATTTTTGTCAAGAATACATCAATTTGGAGCCTGATAATTGGCCATTTCATTTCTCTGTTGACTCCCTTCTTTAGTAAGGGACACTGGTCAAATTAACCCATGGTGCTGAAGAGAAGCGTTATGGCATGTTGGGTTCTTGTTGTCTCCCAGGATAGAAATCAAGAGAGACCACAAATGGGAATAGAAAGTAAAAGTTTATTAGCTTGTGCACAAGGAAGGCACAAGGGAGCTGGTGCAGAAAGGAAAGGGGCAGGTGATTGGCTCGTCAGGGAGCAGGACTCGGGAGCTTTCATTAGGCAGAGGCTGGGGAGACGGGCCTTGTCATGGCCTGTGGAGGGGGGGTTTTTCTTGGGCCTGCGCTGTCATGTAGCATGTCACCACGTGTGTTGCATGTATCATTAGCACACTAGCTCTCCACCCCTGGGTGTGATTTTTACCGTGCTAGTGGAGGTAGGGTCATCTTCAGTGGACTCCTGGGTGCCAGGGTGCATGCGGAAGCCTGGAAAAGTCCTGATGATGAGGATTATTTGGCGCTGGTTACTTTTAAAAACTGCAGACAGGAAAGAGGCTCTGAAAAGTGGAATTTGTTTGCCCTTTGATGAGAGACATTTACATTTGTAAGGGAGGTCTCCATCTGTGGGGGTGTCTCCCTCTCTGCACCAGGAAGAGGTGGGGATGACCTTATCTCTAGAAACTCTTAACAGGGAAGGCAAGGACATCCTGACTTAATCCGATCTGATTCTTATCTAAAGTTATAGGACCACCCAATAACCAGACCCCACCTGCACTGATACCATTTTAACAACTTTTTTACATATTCTTTCCTTTGTCTTGTAAAGAGATAACTCACATACCTATGCCTTAAATTGAGCCCTACTCTCCACCCATGTTTGCAGCTCTTACTGCCCGTGGGTCCCGTCCCCATGCCTGCAGCTCTTCACTGCCCATGGGTCCTGTCCCCATGCAATTTCATACTATTCTCTGAATAAAAGAGCACTACTGCCAGACCTTGAGAGCCCAAGAAATCTTTCTTTGACTCCTCGACTCACCGAGCCCACATCACTGAGGCTGCGGAATGTGGATCTTGGTGGTCTCCATCTGATTCTCCTAGCCTGCTGATTGGTTAAGGGCCTTACCTTGTTAGGCCAGGGGCCTTGCTGACAGCCCTGTCTCCTTAGGCTGGTTCCGTCTCAGGAGCAGCCCATTTTCAGGGAGAACTTGGCTGTTTCCAGGACACTGCACACTGGTTTGTTCAAACAGTGTAGATGTATCTAGCTAGCTAGCTACTCAACAGTAAAAGTCAACACTATGAGAGAAACTATATGACCAACAACTGGGCTTTCACTGCTGATTTTATTTTTTTGTGGTTTTATTGAGATGTAACTGGCATACAGTAAACTATATATTATCTAGCCCTGGTGTCTAGTGGTTAAGACTCTGCACTCTCACCCCAATGGCCCCACTTCATTTCCCGGTCAGGGAAGCCCACCACCTGTCTGTCTGTTGTCCTACTATGAGAGCTGCCTGCTGCTGTGATGCTGAAAGCTCTGCCACTAGTATTTTCAAGTACCAGCAGGGTCACCCATGGTGGACAGTTCTCAGCAGAGCTTCCAGACTAGAGAGACTAGGAAGAAGGACCTGGCCTCTCACTTCTGAAAATAATTGGCCATGAAAACCCTATGAATTACAGCGGAGTATGTCTGACACAGTGCCAGAAGGTGAGAGGATGGCACAGAAGACCAGGCAGGGTTCCACTCTGCTGTCCACAGGGTTACTAGGAGTCGGAATCAACTTGATGGCACTAACAACAAAAAACCAATATATTTAACAGTACCATTTGATAAGTGTGGTGTGGGTTACTTCTGTGAAAACAAAGCACAATCGAGATGATACGTACATCCATCACTCCCAAAACTCTCCTTGTCTCCATCAGCAATTCCCCCACCCCTGCTTCTTCCCATCCATGGGCAGCCATGCACCTGCTTCTGTCCCCATGTAGGAGCTTGCACCCTCTAAGTTTTATGTGAGTGGATCCATGCAGTGTCTGTGATTTTCTGCCGTTCACTCTGCATAATGTTGTGGTTGAGTGTGTCGACAGATGCTCCTGTTCGTGACTAGGTGGTGCTCGCTGTATGGAGCTATCACGGTTCATCCACTCACCTGTCACTGAGCATTTGGATTGTCTACAGTTTGGGGCTATTACAAAGAAGGCTGCAATGAGCATCCTTCTTAAAAAAAAATCAGAAACTAATATCTCTGCCCAAGACTGAAAACTCCATGACGAGTGGAGACTCTCGGACAGTTGTCACACAGAAACTTCCAGGACAACAGCAGGGGGAGCTCTCTGGACCCACTCCCCAGCAAAACTGGTGAAAATTATTTTTAAAACAACCATTTAAAGTCTATGGAAATGGTCCTAAGGATATACAGCATATGAAGAAACATTTGTTCAAGAAAATATACTAAAATTTGGCAAAAACACCCAGAGTCCACAGTACTTGGGTGGAGACCCACTCCCTCCCAGCCCTTCAAGGTGGGGACTCTGCTCCAGCTGCTACAGACAAGAAGGCAGGGCCCCCTCTCTCTCCAGCTCCCAGCTGAAGGGCTTTCTTCCTGGGAAGAGCAGGACTACAGCACTTCTCATCCTGTTCCAAGCTGCCTACTGCTGAGACTAAGTGAGTGTGGCCCAGAGGTGAGGGTCCCTTCTTCTGCCCAGCTCCCACCTGGGGAATGGAGGCTCTGCCTCGGGCCTAGTGTTGCTGAGGATACTGGGGCCTGATCCCCTTGGCTTAGCTCATAAAGCAGTGCTTCAATGCTAGGAGAGTCA